GTGGAATTGTTTTCCACATCTTCACAATAGTTCCCCATCTTGTAGAAAGCTCTGCATCAAGTCCTTGGATTTGTCTTTTGAACATCATGGTAACGCCACTATCATAGTTCAACAGCCTGTCCAAATTCTCTCGAAACTGTGCTTCATTGTAGCTCCACGCCAAATTCCATATGAGTGGCTTCATGTGTTTTTTGCTACCATGATTCTTCTTCAAGTTCCCATAGATATGTCTCACACACATTCTATGTTTAATCTTTGGCAATTCCTCCTTAACGGCTTTGATCAATCCCTTAAAAAAATACCAAGTTAATGAAATATACAAATACAGGGAATGTACACGAGAAGACCAAGTCAAATAAACAAATACATGAGGCGATTTACTAACCTTTTGACGATCATATACCACGATATATCCATTGCCATCGTCTAGTCCCAAGTCTTTCTTCACATTTCTCACAAACCATAACCAATTATCAGTGATTTCCACTTGTACACAACCCCATGCTATAGGATAAATAACATTGTCTGCATCTCTCCCTAGAGAAACCAATACTTGTCCCTTGATTTTTCCTTTTATGAATGTACCACCAAGTCTAATGAGCGGCCTACAAATCTCTTTCCATGTTCTTCTCAATACATCAAAGCACACATAGAAACTTTTAAACACATCTAGACCTTCAGCGTTTTTAAAGTGTCAATCTCCACAGTTGAATCCTTGTTTGACTCTAGTAACTCAGCAGCATAATCTCTTAGGCGAGCAAACTGATTATCATATTCATATTCGATCCACTTCAATGCCTTATTCCTAGCAGCTTGACATTGAGGCCTAGATACAACAATCTTCCATCTTTCCATCATAATTTCCTCAATCTTCATAGGCATATAGTATTCAGGTTCTTCTCGAATCATATCAACAAACATTCTAGCAATCACAGGAACCTTAAACATCTCACATTCCCCATCAGGAATACAACTATGCTCTTCTATGAACACCCTAACTCTCCACATTGCATCATTTGGAAGGATTGAAACATATTTTTTCCATTCACAACCTTCGACTATGCCTTCTTCGATATCACTAACACCACCAACACACTTAAAGCCTATCTTATCCTTATCATACCTATATTGCTTCAAATTTCGGCCTGTTCTTAAAGCATAGTCGAGAACGCACACCCTTGAAAGCAACTCCATTGAAGAATGTCTGATTTTTGTACAATCTCCCATCACCACGCTGGATATGATTTGCCTGTCTTTGTATCTCTCGACGACCACCTTCTTCTTCATTGTCGCTGTCGCTTTCAGTTTCTGGATACACGTCGTGTTGAACTGGATCATCGTCGACAAACTCTTCGATAAGCCTTTGGATTCGATATTCTTCTTGGTCCATTGCTTCTTCATCGAATTCTCCTTCGCCAACCCCTTCTAGATTCACTAACGCCATTTCAAACACCTCAATTTTGTATTCAAACTTCTAAATTGAACTCTGATTCTTAGGATTTGGAGATTTCTGTGTTTGAGATTTTTTTTTGTCTCTCTTTAGAACTTGCGATTTGGGGATTATCCGACTAAGAGTTAAGCATTGGTTTACTATTTTGGTTGGGTCATCAATCGGGTATTAGTGTTGCAATCGGGTCAAACTTAGGTTTAGTTTCGGTTTTGTGTTGGTTAGTGATTTGTTAGAAATTAGTAAACCAGGTAAAACCGAGGTCTATGGGTTTTTAAAATTTTAACATTAATTTCGTGTGGATACAGCTTTGTAACTTTAATCTCGAGGAGATCTAGATCTATAACTTTAATCTTAGGGATATATAGAACGAAGGCATAGTTAGAGGGATATCTAGTGCTATATGATACTTTGGGTGGGGAAATAGATCGTCTTTCCAACTATTAATTGAAAAGCAAGTTGGGTTATGATGAAGAGTTATGATGGTTGATTATATTTTGTTCTTTATGTGAATTTATTTTAATTATCCTTAATGAAATTAACAAATTAATATAATCTAATTTTTAATTATTTTTTTTTTTAAATCTCTATTTCCAAATTTGACTTTATATCATAAAAATATTCAGTTTACTAAAAACAAAAGGTAATTAGCATAAATAAAAAAAAATCCTAATTATTTCATTGAATTAATTTTAATATGATTTTTTTAACCTACTAATATTTTTGATTAACATAATTGATTTATGCGAACACAAGTAAAACTCTAATTTATTTAAAACCTTTTAAAACTCTCTATATATTAATTAATGTTAACTTGATATGAAACAATGATCCTTTGGTTTTTGTCGTTTTGGATTGCTATGTTTTTTTTTATTTTCAAACTTTAAATTACATTAATCTTAATCTACCAATTTACATCAAAAGAAAAGAGTTATTTATCATGTTTGATAAATGCAACAAAACAATAAAGCATACACATAAATTTTTATGGGATAATATAAAAGATATTAGAAAATAAGATATAAATAATATATTTTGCTTTGTCACAAAAAATAATATACTCATGAAAATTATCATATTATTAATTGAGAAGCAAGTTGGGTTGTGGTTAAGAGTTATGATGGTTGATTACCTTTTGCCCCTTATGTGAATTTACTTTAATTATCCTTAATAAAATTAACAAATTAATATAATCTAATTTTTAAATGATTTTCGTTTTTTTTAATCTAAATTTCCAAATTTGACTTTATATCATAAAAATATTCAGTTTACTAAAAAAAAGGTAACTAGCATCTACTACTAATAAAAGTTGATGCCAAATATCTCTAAAAGTGTCCAAATAGAATTTAAAGATTCAATTATATTGGTACACATCATCATTATCTTTAGTTAATTATATATTGTATATTAAAATTAATTAATTCGTTTTAATTATTATAAGGAAAGTTTCTATTTTTTAATTAATTTCATTTTTGTTGTTATTAGGAAAATTTTTAAATTTTAAGTTAGTTATTAATGAAAAAAAGTTTTGAAAAAAGTTTCAAATTTGACTTTGTATCATCAAAAATATTCAGTTTACTAAAAAAAGTAACTAGCATAAATAAAACAAAAATCCTAATTATTTCATTAACTAATTTTAATTTGATTGTTTAACCTATTAATATTTTTGACTAACCTAATTGTTTTATGCGACCACAAGTAAAACTCTAAATTATTTAAACCATTTTAAAACTCTATATATATTAATTAATGTTAAGATGATATGAAACAAGGATCCTTTGGTTTTGGTCATTTTGGATTGCTATGTTTTTTTTTTATGCAAACTTTGAATTATATTAATCTTAATCTACCAATTTACATCAAAGGAAGATAATTATTTATCATGTTTGATAAATGCAACAAAATAACAAAGCATACACATAAGTTTTTATCGGATAATATAAAAGTTATTAGAAAATAAGATATAAATAATCTATTTTGCTTTGATATAAATAATCTATTTTGCTTTTTCACAAAAAAATAATATACTCATGAAAATTGTATTTTTTTTAATTGAGAAGCAAGTTGTGTTGTGATTAAGAGTTATGATGGTTGATTACATTTTGCCCCTTATGTGAATTTACTTTAATTACCCTTAATAAAATTAATAAATTAATATAATCTAATTTTTAATTAATATTCATTTTTTTAAATCTAGATTTTTAAATTTGACTTTGTATCATCAAAATATTCAGTTTACTAAAAAAAGATAGCTAGCATAAATAAATAAAAATCATAATTATTTCATTAAACTAATTTTAATTTGATTGTTTAGCCTACTGATATTTTTGACTAACCTAATTGATTTATGCGACCACAAGTAAAACTCTAAATCATTTAAACCCTTTTAAAACTCTATATATATTAAGTAATGTTAAGATGATATGAAACACAGATCCTTTGGTTTTTGTCATTTTGGATTGCTATGTTTTTTTTTATGTAAACTTTGATTTTTATTAATCGTAATCTGCCAATTTACATTAAAAAAAGAATTATTTATCATATTTGATAAATGCAACAAAACAACAAAGCATACACATAAGTTTTTATCGGATAATATAAAAGATATTACAAAATAAGATATAAATAATATATTTTGCTTTGTCACAAAAATATAATATACTTATAAAAATTATATTTTTAAAAATTTATTAAGTTTGATTTCAAATCATTATAAAATCTGATTTTTTATCTATAAATAAACTAATTTTATATTTTTTTTAAAATTAATCGAAACCCGCCACAAGGTGCGGGTAAACACCTAGTTTTGTTAATTTATAATAAAATAAATTTTAAATAATTAAATAATTAAAAATTAGTGATGTGTTTCTTCACCTGAAACCTTGTGAGTGCATGTCGGGATCTAGTTCCGATTTTCCTTTTAACCTGATCCAAAGGAAATAAAACTGTTGTTGTAAAATGAAGGCTGGAAGAAATCTTAGATATATAAGCTTCGCCGTTGCTGGGCTTGTACTTATGGTAATCGCCACTCCTCTTAGCATCACTACAGCCTGCCATAGGGTAAAAAAATGCTACTACACCTTTACTAAAGCCATATAAGATTTCACATCTTTTGGCTCTTGTTGAATCTAACATGAATTGTTTCAGTCTCGGTTTTCTCTAGCCCTTGTACGTCTTTTATTCATTCAGTTGAAGCAGGGTTTGCGCCATTGTTAAACTTAGAAAATTAAGTCAGTGAATATAATATACATAAACATTGTTTTAAACAAGCAAAACGAAATGAAAAAATAATTATTTCAAATTGAAAACATAGAAACGGAAAAAAGAGCTTCCAGGACTGATCACCACTCTTTCTTGCAGGTTTGAGATTTTCGAGCCCTACGTCGTGCCTCAACGATTCGTAAGACGTAAATAATTATGAAGATGACCAAAACCCGTCCGGTAACGTTTCCTCTTTGGAAGATCTTCGAGTACTCTTTCCTACAAGATGTATATATGAAACATGAGTATTTGGAAACGTGAAAAACATTTAAAAAATAAAAAATATTTGTCTCTATGACTGAATCCAGAAGCATTTCAGAAACACAAACAGAAAGTTACACTTTTTCTTCATAATTATCATTAAGAAAAACCTGCCTTTTGCTCGTGCTCTCGATAGCGCCTCCTTTCTCGCCTAGACTCCTGAATATCAGCCTCCTGCTTGACAACGAGTGGAAAAAGTTAAACAGGCTGCTTCTAAAATGGTTAGATAAAGGTATTGATGATACAGAGGATGCTTACCTCCTCTGCATGTTCTTCACTTGATAGATGGTTCCTGAAATCATCAAGGCTTTCGCATTCAAATTTGCACACTTTGCAATAAAACGTTTCGGTAGATTCACCCCTTCCACTGCACTTGTCAAGAACGTGTCTTCTTGTCTCTGATATACAAGTGGAAAAGAAAAGACTTTAGTAAAGCTCAGAAACAGTAGTGGATGAGATGATGAGAGGGCAAACAAGCACCTGCAACTGCAAGTAAGCTTTCCCAGAGCCACTCTGCAGAAGTGACCAGGGCCAACATTTGGTAAGGCCTATATGAATATGCCAGAATAATGTTGTATTTACTCATTTGTTGTAATCAAATCTTCCACACGATCGGATATGAGCATCATTGTAGCCGGAGGAGGATTATGAAACCACCACATCGCCATATCGAAATGCATGTTACTGTATATGACTTCTGTTTCGGTAAAAGGAAAGCATATTAGTAGGGATAGTTGAAATTAAAACCCTAAATTTCAGAGATGGACTAACCGGGAATGGTATGCGCAACAGCGACTCCAGTGGAAGAGAGCCCTCGCAGGAGGTGCTCAGGGGCTTGTTTTAGGTCGCCGTAGGCAGTGATGGAGACAGGACCAGAGTAGCCTAGTTGCTTGAACGCCGCTTCCATACTCGGACGGACCCGACGAGCATCATAACCCTCGGGAATCGGACAGGCCTTCATGTCCCACCACACCGCTATCTTAGCTGTCGCGTATTCAGGCCTCGCCGCTGTGTTCCCAAACATCCTCTAAACCTACACAAATCACAGACACACAACACAAGCCCTCGATCCGCAGGGTTCCTTTTCTAAGTTTAATGTGTTCTTATAAAGAAGTACACACTATTCCTTGATCCCCAAGGTTTCGTTTAGCAGAAGCTAGAAATTTGAATACAATTAAACTAATGGGCCTAAATGAAAGCCCGTAAGGGCGTGGTCAGGGCTGGATATTCGGGTTACCAGATCCAATTTCGCTCTTGTCATCTATAATAAACAAACACAGTCAGGCTCATATGGAAGATAGATAAACACAGTCAGGCCCATATCATTCCTCTTTTACTAAATAACTATTCCTGTTGTTATTTTGATAGCATTTTTTTAGTAAAAAATTATTAGATATATCTTTATTTTGGTTATTTTTTTTTCCTTTTGAATTCATCCAATTTATTAAATTTTAAATTTATTTAATGGGGCATATTGGATTAATGATTTAGAATGATTTAATTATTTCTCAAATTTCTTCTTATTGCATCTAGCATTTAAAAAAATACTTAAAATTCAAGGTTATTTAATTAGTCATTTAGACAAATTCATTAAAATCTTGCCTTATTGAAAATTTGGGATTTCACTAATGAATTATTTTATTAAAAAGATGATTTGAAATTATTTGAAAAGTAATGTAGAGTTAAAAACCATTAAATTGAAATATCATCTCATATGATGGTATTTGAGAGAATTTAGAAGGCAAAAGTTATTTGAATCATTTTAAAACTTTAAATTTATTAAAATCTTTGTAAATTTGAATTTATTCAAATAACTAATCTAATTTGCCCTTCTTCATCTTTTTTTTTATCAAATTTTTAGTTTCTTTAGTTAAATATTAAAATAAATTATACATACTACTAATACACACTTGTTTGTATGTCCGTCTGACACCGCTAATATTATGTTAAACTTTTGGTAGAAACTGTTACCAGTCCAGCTAAATCATGTTGAAGGTTTCACTTCAGTTTTACCATATCTTATAGATAACAAGCATTAAACAAAAAGCTTTAGGCAATAATAGTAAGCATTGAACATACTTTCTGAAACAAATACATGAATTAGAGATGAAACGCAATAACATATGTTCAAAAATTAAAAAACTTGTTTTATTAATGTCATGTATTCTCCAAAAAGGAAGTATAGATCAGTTTGATGGCTCTTTGTGAGTATAAATTTGCACAGAAAACACACTAGCAAAAACTATATCATTCTTTTTACCATTATATCTCCTTCAGCCTTCTCTTCTTAGAAATGGTATCTCTAGGAGGAAAAAGCTCAAGCTAAGCTAAGTGGACTTGTAAAGAAAATGAAGACAAAGAAGATAGCTCGTCTGGTCCTTCCTTCTTCCTCCCGTAGTTATTATTTCTCTTCCAAATCAATACTAACCAGGTTTTTCATTTGTCTCTATGTTGCCACCTCTTTTGTTTGTCTTTGTATCCTATCTGAGATTCCAAAGAGAAGGCGGGACGATTCTGCTATAGCTTTTCTAGTTCGGATGTAAGAATTTACAAAAGAGTGGATGTCTAGTTTTTAAGTAAGCAAAAGAAGAGGAGAAGCCTGAGTTGTTTTGTTTTTAAGTAGTATGATTAAAGGTTGTAATTGGTCGACCCACACCGTCGACTCTTGTTAAGTATGATGTTTGGTGTACCAATATGGAGAGGGTTGCTCTCATCAGCAAACATATTGTCATTATCACCAACAACAAACTTAACCCTGTGTGCACGTTTGATGAGACAATACCTATGAAAGGTGGAGCTTGGGCCGACAATGGTGTCTTCATTTTACACTATTTTGAATGCTATCAGATACCGTCGTCCTAATGGAATTAGCGGAAGCATACAAACCTACACTACAAGAAAATAGAAAATTCGTGACAATGCAGCGTAATCGCTAAATATACGACTATTTAGCGACTAACTCATGTAGTCATAAATTCTTAGTCGGTAAAGTTTGCAGCCGAAATTATAGTCACTTATTAACGACTACGTTACATTGTCGTAAAAGTAGTCGTAACATCGTGTTACGTCTACAATAACATTACGATTAATTTACGATTAGTTTGCATAAATACAAGAGATTGTTGTTGTACTACTCATTATTCTCTAGAGTGACGAAGATGTAGTAATATACCTTATGGTTTTAATTGTGACGTGAAAACATCATATTTGTTGCTCATAACTTGCTATTTACACCGCTATTTTAGCTGTTGCGTTTTCAGGCGTGGCTGCATCGTTCGCAAACATCCTCTAAACCTAAACAAATCACAGACAGGCAAGTCCTTGATCCGTAGGGTTTCTTTTCTAAGTTTAATGTACTCTGTATATGAAGAATTACACACAATTCCTTGATCCCCAAGGTTTCTTTTCTAAGTTTGATGTACTAATGTTATATACACGAAACTAATGGGCCTAAATGAAAGCCCGTAGAGATGGATATTATAGAAAAATTATATACTTGATGATGTTAGATGTCACTAGAAGTAACTCACAATCCTTTTTTTTTATGGGAGATTGTCATGGGACGAGATTGTTAATACGGTTGTGACAAGAGCTCAGCCTCACAATCCTTTTTTTTTTTGTGTGCTTCTTTTGAAATATGTAAAACTGGTTAATATCTAAAACTGGTTACTGCAGTGCCTAGCTACTACGAGTATTTTTGGAGTTTTCCAATTGATCTAGATGGCAAAACAATTTTCAAGCGGCACGAGCTCAATAATTCCCATTTCGAGATCGAGACTAATTGTATTTGATTCTGATCAATATATATAAGTATTAAGAAACTTTGTAATACTGGACGACGACGACAATTAGTTGGTTCTTGTCCTTATCTAATGAGTTGACCCCTCGATATTTGGTGGTCAAGGACGTGCTTATGCTAACTTCTAATTGACTCGTATATTTATATTTTACATTACACCTACTCACTTTTAAATAAATCGATTTTTAACTTTAATTTTCTAGAACTCAGTAGTGAATCATGTATGACGTAGCTTACTATTTTTTTAATGATAGTAAATCATTTAGAAACAACAAATTAAATCATTTAGCAGAAGCTACACATTTAAATATACAATTAGAAAAAAAGCTGAAATTAGCTAGTTATTTTTATGAGAAACCATTTTTTTGTAAAAAGATCAACATCATATATGATATTTGCTCAACTTCGTATAACAGAAGAAATTAAAAAACACGATTACAATTCATTTTTTTATTAATTTGACCCCCCCAAAAAAAAGAAAAGAAATACGATTACAAATAAGTACTAATTAAGCGAATGAGATAGTTAATTTGGAGGACGATACTCATTCTAATTAATAACGACATATGTTGCGTTTCCGTTATACATGATAAATTGTTGTATGGAAAATTAAACGAATAATGTGCTCGAATCTAGAATTGTGAACCTGTGAGTAAGCAAATGGTGTACTACAGTACTAAACATGACTAGTCCCACGTTATGCGATTGCCAAATAACTTTCCACGGAGATTAACTTTCCATTAATATTAGGATATATATTGGAATATATCAACAAGCATAGAAGAAAAAATGTCCATAAGACTCATGTTAAAAACACCGACTTTGGTTTTTGTTAGGGTTTGCGAAGATAAAGATGGCAGAAAAAAAAATTCAGGGACTAGAAAAAAGTGAAAAATGGTTTTGGCTTTATCAACCATCATATTAACCGAGTTGTGTTATCGGTGATATGATGTGTATGGTAGGACACACCTCTTCTCGGAATTTCAAAGCGAATGAGTCAACGCGACTAAGTCAAACATGGGACATCGAGTATATATTAGTACGTGTTTATAGCAAAAACTAAAGCTTATATAGTTATATGTGTGTGACTTGTGAGGAGAACCCCAAAATATAAAGCTTAAAAATAATAGAGAGTTAATCTAATTTAACCATAGTTAATGAGGTTTAAGAAAAAGCAGCCAAAATCTTTTCCGCTAGTAAATTTTTCGCGCATGATCAAAAACGAGGAATATTATATCCTATAAAGTGGGTCCTGAAATCACGAGCGTTAGGGGTGGGCGCGGATCGGATAACCGGAAATTTTTAAGTATTTGTGGTTTGCTCCGTTTTTAATAGATATTTAATTTAATGATTTGATTTGCTCCGGAAATATACGGATATCTAGATTTTCAGATATCCGAAAATTTTACAAGTATTTGCGGATATATACGGATATTTATGAATATTTAGTTTGATCCGTTTAATATACACAAAACTGAAAGTACATCAATTTTTATTATAAAAAATATTTTTTTATCTAAACTGTTAAGTGAAAATAATTAAAAAAAACATTTTATTTTATAAAAAATCTATAAAAATTAAACCTATAAAATTAAGATGAGGAAAAAAATAATATTTTATATTTAAAAATAATATTAACTATTTGAAACTTTAAATATTAAACTTTACTAAAAACCTTTGTTGATATTTATTAACTAATATCAAATGAATTATGATTTATTAATATATTTTAAGTTTAAACATATTATTTATTTTTTATGAATGGTTATTTAGTCATTTATTTTATATAATCTAAATAATTTATAAACAATTGAAAATTTAGGAAGAAAACGAGAGTATATTAATACAAATTTATAATATAATTGATATATACATGATAAGATATACTAATATATAATAAATTTATAAAGATACGGATCAGATCGGATATCCGATGTTGTCTAAAAACATATTTGTTATTTGCTTCGTTTTGTACAGATACTATATTTTGCTATTTGCTTTGCTCCGAAGTTTTACGAATATCCGGATTTTTCGAATCGAATCGAAGCAAATATCGGTTCGAAGCGGATATAATGGATATTTTGCCCACCCCTAACGAGCGTATCAATCTTGCTTCACAAGTCCGCCTATAAACGAACGACAAAAATCCGTACTAATATTTTACATTATTTTCCTTAAACCAATTAATTAGTTCCCGCTTCACAGCAATCAGCAAACGGAAAATGACGTAAGCAGGTTGACGTCATCTCTCTGATGTCATTTGCATCCGACCTTATTAAGAAGAGAGGCTATGAAGTAACTAGCAAGTTTAAAATCTCAACATGCAATAAGATAGTAATAATTAATACTGCAACTATTACGCCTAAATATTGGTTGCTCGAATTTTAAATTTGATAAACTCAAATATTGGTAACAATAGGTGCGCGTCCTACATGGGTTTTTTGAAAAGTCGCACTTTACATGTTCACAAGCTTTTTTAATCGGCATATTATTGAATTTTAGTTAAAGATTTGATATAGTTTTAAGTAGCCACTGGCCAAAAAGAAGAAAACTATCAGTGATTGTAACAATTCAATTAAATATTTTTTAAATGTGATAGGTGTTTTGATTATAAATTAACTTGGCGACGCATGCAAAGGTTGGTGTTTGACCATAATTAATTACAACAATTCTACTACTTGCCCTATAAGGCTATTACTCTTACAATTAAATATATATAGCAATGCAACTACTTCTCCTATAAGCATAAGATCCGTAAAAGATAAAAATCTGAGCTAAAAGATATCTTTTTAAAACTTTTAAATATTAATTTTTTCATGGTTAATTGGTTGTTGTTATTTTGATTAGGCCAAAGTTCGAAAAACTCACGAGAAGTGGTCCCAATTTGAATTTCATTTGCAGCATACAAATTTGACGTTTCTATATGCCCGTTAATCCACGATAATTTTGACTTAGGTCCACATTACATAATTATAAACAACTTGTCAACTACAAAACTTAATATAATTTTTACTAATTTGATACAGGTCCTTGGATATTCATGATGGCTTAGATGAATTATTAACAAGTAAGAACACACAAATACGTACTATATTCTAAATATTTAATCACTTTCATGATTAATCAAATGTTACGATTTCTTGTGTCACGACTCACGACAAGATATATACTACGATATGTGTAGTAGAAAAAACGGTTATAAGCATTAAATAATTATCATTAACCAGAGCTAGGTTTTCGGTGAGATTTTGGACCCATCATATATAGTGGCTCGTTTGCTAGCTAAATCCCCTCAAGATCTAACTTTTTTCAAAAGTACTGATTAATCAGTGTAGTATTATAATTAAGGGACCCGTGATGTTATACATAGATTTTTACTAGAGGATTTGATTGGACAACATTCCAAAATAATTTCTTTAACCTTAAAGATGTGAAAAAGTAAACTTCCCACTTTTATGGGTACTTTATTTAATACAAAACAATAAAGAAAATCACTTGTCGTTATAGCAATTCCATTCAAGAAGCTTCGTTGAATCTACGCATGAAAGTAGCCATGAAAGTTATTTTATCAATTATTTAAATGCAAATAGATTTTAATAATATTGTATATTTTTTCCCTTGATTTTTGATGTGTATATAAACAGTATATCTGCTTAACAAAGATCTCTCCTCCTCTTAGCTCCAACAGCCGACAACACGAAACAAACCTTCTTCAACTAAGAAAATGAACTACCCTTCAAACCCTAACCCTAATTTCACAGATTTCGATGAAACTTTCAAATTCGATGATTACGATTATACTTTTCAGATGATTATGGACCAAATCAGCCTCGAAGACCACTCTCCCACTTTGAGCTGGACTTCATCAGAGAGATTAGTGGCCGCAGAAGTCACAAGCCCGCTTCAAACAAGCCTGGCTAGTTCACCTATGAGCTTGGAAATGTAAGTCAACTTTTGATTTTACGTCTTAGCATATAGGTTGTTCTTTATAAGTGTTATTGCAACAGTGATATGTTTAATAACTATGATGATCTTATATAGAGGGGACAAAGATGGGATCAAGAAGAGGAAGAGACACAAAGAAGACCCGATCATCCACGTGTTCAAAACAAAATCGCCGGACCATTCATTGGACGACGGTTATAAATGGAGGAAATACGGCAAGAAACCGATAAGGGGTAGTCCACATCCGAGGTAAATCGTTGATTCTAACTTCGTATAGAATGTATAATAGTTCATATGCAAATTTTATTACTCAACTTGGAGGATAGTAGTTGAATATGCTATAGTTTGTGTTAGTTGATTTGAGAAATGCTATGAATGTGTCCACTTGATGAATTAAGAAAGAATGCGTCGTCTCTTAAAGCGTAGATTAGTTAAGTGTCATATGGACAACTTGAGACAAATTATCTACTCGTGGCTGTCGAATTTTACAAGTTAATTACTCTCCTCTTTTTGTATTAAGCTAATCGATTAGTTAAAAAAAACCCCAAAACCTTGTTCATCCGTTCAGCAAGAACTACGAAGAAACCAAAGCATAGTAGTTTCATTTTCTCTTTGTCACACATTTATTCATTGCAGAAATTACATAATTAACAGTTTCACTTTGTCAAATTGATATGACCAATTTCTAGTTTCTACCGTCGAATCCTATCACGTACATGAAATGATAATTTTTTTGATAATCACTTTACTTATAAAAACAAGTGACATCCCTTTACTTATAAAAACAAGTGACATCCCTTTCTGATTTCGATCCATAAGTTATAGATGAATTTGTATAAACCCCTTCACTAAGAATTTACATGTGTAGGTACTGTATAATATTAAATATGGTTAGTGTTCCCTCTTCAGAGGAGATGTTTCTTGTCCAGATGCATGTTTCTATATGTATGTTTATACTTTACATGTGTAGAAGCCAACATGCAGCTATATATATATATATATTATCACCAAAGCTATATTTCCATGTGAACCATGTGTCCTGAATACAAAATTATTGTAAGGCATATATATATAAGCATATATTGAACCTCTACTAGTGAATACAAACTAATTAAAAGAATCAAGTTGAATTTGTTAACTAAAAACCGTTTGTTTGTATATATGTCCACTTGTCACAAGTTGTGATATATATATAAGCTAATAACAATTAACAGTTAACACTTGAGAATATCATACTTGAGTTCTTTGTTGTATGTTACCTTTGTTTTTAAGTGGGCATACAGCCGGCGAAATTGTTATGCTAACTTTGGATCTATTATTATTGGACCACATTATATACTATAATCAAATCATTATCACTACAAATCTTACAGAATCTTATCAGAGTTTTAGTAAATGATTTTTTTTAAATTATTTGGAACAGGCATTATCACAAGTGTTCGAGCCCAAATTGCGTCGTAAAGAAGAAGATCGAGAAAGATACAAACAATCCAGAATATGTGTTGACAACCTACGAAGGGATACATAACCACGCAAGCCCTTCTGTAATATATTGTGATTCAGACGACTTTGATCTTTCCTCTGTCAACACTTGGTCCTTTCAGACACATACTTATAGTTTATCACATTCGGCTCCATGATCAGGACTTACAAAATTGTGTGTATAGGTACGCGTTTGTGTATATATATGTGCCTAAAGTGTATATCATCATCATATTCATGCGTCACATGTATCCACATATACCTTGTTGGGTCGGTTTTGTAATGTACCGATTTGGTGGATGTGTAATGGGAAACATTGTATGTGAGGTGTGACGGTAATTTTTGTAATATATTAACTAATTTGTACATGAGAGTATGAGACTCTTTTAGTTCAGTGTAGTACCTAGTAATGTCTTCGTTTTTTTTTTTTTGAGTTAGCAAGTTTAATATTTGCCAACAAAAAATTACTGTGGATAACATACATATAAGAATGGAGGATAACAACAATTTATATAGTGTTTGAGTCTTGCAAGTGCTAGGTTGAGGCATTTGCTCTTTAACAAAAAGAAATATTTTTTTTTGTCTAAACTTTATTTTGATTTCTATTTCTATTTCATAGAGATATCTATCTATTACTAATAAAAGTTGATGCTAAATGCTTTAAAGGGTGTCCACATAGGATTTAAAGATTCAATTCTATTGGTACACATCTTTTAGTTAATTATATATTATATATTAAAATTAATTAATTCATTTTAATTGTTATAAAGAAAAATTTTAAATTTTAATTAAATTTTTTTTTGTTGTTATTAGGAAAGTTTCTAAATTTTAAGTTAGTTATTAATAAAAAAAGAGTTTTGAAAATAGATCTTATTTTTCTATTAACAATAAAAAGGTAAATTAACAGATAAATAGATTATGAAAGAAAAATTGTATATATTGAACAAAATTATTCAAAACTGTATTTAAAACCATAATTAAATTATTTTAAAATTTTATTCACGACAAACAATTAAAATCTGAATTGCTAACTTAAAATATATTAGTTGTGGTTTGTATTGATGTTTTAGGCCAATAAGAGCGTGCACATATGAAATATATACTCAATCTTATTAGTCTATATCATCGTTTTTTATTAAACATAAAAAATAAAAATAATATTAATAATTTAAATAAATTAAAACATACAAAAATATAAAATTATCACAACAGAATGGAAAATTAAGATATTTTTTAACTAAATAAAATAAAGGGGGAATTGCTGAATATGACTCAAAACTTGAGTTGAAATGCAAAACTAGACCCCCTATTGCATGTTTGACAAAAATAACTCACAGGAGTAGTGAAATTACAACTTTAACCTTTATGACCAAACAAAAAAACGTCAACCTCAATTACTATTTTATCTCAGAGAAGTCTACTCGAGAAGTTAAGTAGACTTCTCGAGTAGACTTCTCCAAGAAGTCTACTCTTTAATAATATGTTTACAATTAATTTTAAAAATCATAAAAGATAATTTAATAAAAAAAATTAGATACATAACAACAAATATATACTTTTTACACCTATTAAAAATAAAATTTGACAGAAAATAATCAATTTAAATCATCATAGATAAATTAAGATAAAAATCAATACTAAGAGACTTCTCGAGTAGACTTCTCGAGTAGACTTCTTGGAGAAGTCTACTTACACGAATTTTTTCCTACATATATAAGGAGAGTTTAACCTAATTGTATTAACAACAAAGTCTCTCTCTATCTAAAAAACGCCTCTCTCTCTCTTCTCCCTTCTCTCTGGCCATGAATTTCTTCTCCTTCCTCTCTTGCTATCAATATCCTCTCCATCCTCTCTATCTTGCATTCAACCTCCTCTCACTTGCAGGTTATGGTAGTGGTAAGCAAATCTGAGCTTTTGTGTTCCTCTTTTTATTTGCTTTGTGTTTATATTGCAAATCTGAGATTATTATTATATATTTGAGCTTATTATTGTAGATCTAAGTTTATTTTTGTAGATCTGAGTTTATTGTTGTGTAAATTTTGTAGATTTTGTTAATTTTTGTTATTATTGCAGAGCTGAATTTTGTTGATTTTTGTACAGATCTGAATGTTATAAATATAGTAGATTATTATTATAGATCCGAGCTTATTAGTTTAGATTTGAGTTTATTGTTGTAGATCTAAGTTTATATTTGTAGATCTGAGTTTATTGTTGTATAAATTTTATAGATTTTGTTCTAGATCTAATTTTTTCGTTATTGTTGCAGAGCTGAATTTTGTTGATTTTTTTGCAGATCTGAATGTAAACTTCTCGAGTAGACTTCTCGATCTCGAGCAGACTTCTCAAGCAGACTTCAGTTGCATACATAGTTTTCAGAGATTTTAGTTTACTAGTCATTTCTTAGAGCAGAGCTGAATTTTAGATAAGAAATGACTAGTAAACTAAAATCACTGAAAACTATGTATGCAACTGAAGTCTGCTTGAGAAGTCTGCTCGAGATCGAGAAGTCTACTCGAGAAGTTTACATTCAGATCTGCAAAAAAATCAACAAAATTCAGCTCTGCAACAATAAAGAAAAAATTAAATCTAGAACAAAATCTATAAAATTTATACAACAATAAACTCAGATCTACAAATATAAACTTAGATCTACAACAATAAGCTCAAATCTAAACTAATAAGCTCGGATCTATAATAATAATCTACTATATTTATAACATTCAGATCTGTACAAAAATCAACAAAATTCAGCTCTGCAATAATAACAAAAATTAACAAAAACTACAAAATTTACACAACAATAAACTCAGATCTACAAAAATAAACTTAGATCTACAACAATAAGCTCAAATCTATAATAATAATCTCAGATTTGCAATATGAACACAAAGCAAATAAAAAGAGGAACACAAAAGCTCAGATTTGCTTACCACTACCATAACCTGCAAGTGAGAGGAGGTTGAATGCAAGATAGAGAGGATGGAGAGGATATTGATAGCAAGAGAGGAAGGAGAAGAAATTCATGGTCAGAGAGAAGGGAGAAGAGAGAGAGAGGCATTTTTTAGATAGAGAGAGATTTTGTTGTTAATACAATTAGGTTAAACTCTCCTTATATATGTAAGAAAAAATTTGTGTAAGTAGATTTCTCCAAGAAGTCTACTCGAGAAGTCTACTCGAGAAATCGAGAAGTCTACTCGAGAAGTCTCTTAGTATTGATTTTTATCCTAATTTATCTATGATGATTTAAATTGATTATTTTCTGTCAAATTTTATTTTTAATAGGTGTTAAAAGTATATATTTGTTGTTATGTATCTAATTTCTTTTATTAAATTATCTTTTATGATTTTTAAAATTAATTGTAAACATATTATTAAAGAGTAGACTTTTTGGAGAAGTCTACTCGAGAAGTCTACTTAACTTCTCGAGTAGACTTCTCTGGGATAAAATAGTAATTGAGGTTGACGTTTTTTTGTTTGGTCATAAGAGTTAAAGTTGTAATTTCACTACTCCTGTTAGTTATTTTTGTCAAACATGCAATATAGGGTCTAGTTTTGCATTTCAACTCAAGTTTTGAGTCATATTCAGCAATTCCCCCAAGAAAGAATATATGTGGATAACAAAATATTATGTGGATATGTAAATATTAAATAATATGTGGATAACTAAATATTAAATAATATATATACACATAAATTAGATGAAAAAACAAAATATATATACACAAACAAAATATAATAAGAATTTTTGTAAAAAAAAAGAATATAATAATAAGCAAATAATATGAAATACAAATAGCTTAAAAGTGATTACTAAAACACTTATGATAGCAAAAAATAATAGTTAATTAAAACTATATATCAAAACTTTATGACACACGCCTACTAACAGGTAACCGTGTAGGGATGATAGGATTGGGCCGCTGGTTGTTCAACTCTTTCGGCTTGCAATCAGTGGATGGACTATGGAAGGAAGTGGATCGAGATGGAGCTCAAACAAAGAGTTGTGCCACTCTATTTGTAAGAACTAAAGGATGAGGTGAATAGAAGGATGGAACGAAAGTCGCCACAAGGCTTTATGGATCTAAGCCTTGATAAGACAAAGAACTCTCAAGCAATGAATCACACAAAGCTTTAGAGAACAAGAGTTTGGTACTTAGCCAAGAAGTTCGATCTTTATTGATATGGTGAAAAAATACACGGCTGTGAGGGGACTTTATAAACAGTCCAAACAGCTTTGTCCTTCTAGGGGACTTGAAACAGATTACAAAACCCTTAGGTTAAACTACTTGGCTAACAATGCCTTAAAACGAAAATGTAAATAAAAGGTGGCCAACATGCCTTATACTAAAGTTTAAATGAAATAAAAACTAAACCAAGAAAACAAAACAGAAAAGATTGATTAGTAGAACTAAACCATATTGAAATTAAGGATTCGGATCATACCTTGGTTTAGCTCCAAATGAGGCGGTTTACTTAGCTGACGTGATGGTGAATAAGGAAACTCCTTTGTTGGCATGAATCAATGGCCAGTCACGTGTATAACCTATGCTTTTGATGAGAGGGTCGTTGGTGATGTCTAAACCGCCTGCTTGCTCGTTGGGAAGGTCTTCTTGCTCAATGCCCTCCTCGTCTAGATAAGCCCTTGCCATTGCTGCTTCCTTGGCGATGCTTAGTTGACTTAGTTGAGTCGTGATATCCTCTAAGTGTTGGGAAGTGATCAGCGTCTCTACTGCTTGGTTGAAGCCATCAGCTAAGTCTTTAGTTCCTGATCTTGTTCTTGGAGCTTGTCTCATGGTAGGGATGCCAGCTTCAGCTCCTAAGTTTGTATCATCCTCTCCCCCTTGGAAAGGTTCTGTCCTCAGAACTGATTCACCTACATCAAACGGCAGCAAGTCAGATACATTGAAAGTATTAGAAATGTTAAACTCACCTGGAAGTTCAATCTGATATGCATTGTCATTGATCTTCTTGAGGACTTTGAATGGGCCATCTCCTCTCGGTAACAGCTTAGACTTCCTCTGAACTGGAAACCTCTCGGTTCTCATGTGCAGCCACACCCAATCGCCTGGTTCAAAGGTGACTTCTCGGCGACCCTTATCAGCATTCTTCTTGTAGTGCTCGTTCCTCTTCTCTATGTTCTCCTTGACCTTCTTGAACATAGTCTTCATTAGCTCGGCCTTACTAACTCCATCTTGACTCACTTGTTGCACCGGCGGTAAAGGAGTAAGATCTAAAGGAGCAATGGGTCTAAAACCATAGACAATCTCAAAGAGTGAAAGCTTAGTAGCCGAGTGGGGGACTCTATTATAAGCAAACTCAATGAAAGGTAAGCAGTCTAGCCAATTCTTTAAATTTTTACCAACC